AATTAGGAGAAGAAGCTTAGATGATCTTCAAGCCTTAGAAAGGCAGCTCTCTCAAACGTCTTTCAAAATTTCAGGTGAGGATGAGTGATCATGGAATTGGGACAAGAAAGGGATTTTTTCGGTCAAACATATGTCCAAATTATTACAAGGGACGTTTGATACTGATGGAGAAAACAACGATCTTTGCTTTTGGAGTCCGTTAATCCCGAAAAAAGTGAATATATTCATATGGCGTTTCCTAAAAGAGACCATCCCTATAAGGTTCAATTTGTCAAAGAAAGGGATTCCGATACAATCTTTGGAGTGTATTCTATACGGTAAAGGCGTAGAAACAATGGACCATTGTTTCTTTACTTGTTCGGTTTTGAGTGTTCTTTGGAGAAAAATTTGGGCCTGGTGGGATCTAAAATCTCCTCGTTTATCCTCGGTGTCGGATTTTAAAATGCTAGTCCAACAAGTAGGAGTTCATCGCAAGTTTGGGGTGATTTTCTTATCAGTTTGTGCTGTGGCGCTTTGGCAACTTTGAAGGTGGCGAAATGAAATACTTCATGCAGAGGAAGGATCGATAAACAGGAGGAAATGTGAAGACCCATTTCCAATTGTTCAAAATTTAACTAAATTGTGGATGAGTAATAGGAATCGTAAGTTCCAACTTAATTGGGATAGATGGTCTGCCTCACCTTATCATATTTAGTCTTTGTTTTTTTTTTTTTTTTTTTGGGTAAAGTCATAGATTAATTTTGTTTGGGGTTGTTGGCTTTGTAGTTTTTGCTTTGTACTTTGGCATTTATATCTCCTTGTTTCTAGCACCTTGCTAGAAGCTTTTTTCTATATTTTTATTTTATTTTGGTTGATTAGGAGAGGATGATGGCCATGCCCAAACTCTCTTCATAGTTCATCATTCTTTGCCATTCAAATAAAAAGTAATATATAAATATTGTACAGATTATCTAAATATTTATATGAAAGGAAAATCACGGAAATGACCAGAATATATCTGATGTATTAATAAAATAACTATTTTTTATAGCATTTACCAAAATAGCCACATGGATTGCCTCTGAGGGCCTGGTTTGACCATGGGGGCGATCCTCTCATTTTGTTGACCAAAAGTACAAAAAACATAATTTAAAATTTAATTTGTGGGACCCACATATATCTACTTTAGGAGACCAAACACTATTCACCTCGATAACTGGGTTCCCCCCCCCCCCCCCCGGATCTTCCCCCGGAGGAGATCCAGCCTTCGTTTTTTACTATATTTCGTCTTTTAGTGCAACAAGTTTTATTATAAATACCAT